CACACACACACACACACACACACACACACACACACACACACACACACACACACACACACACACACACACACACACACACACACACACACACACACACACACACACACACACACACACACACACACACACACACACACACACACATATATATATATGAAAGACACAAAATGAAACATATCTTCTATGTGTTTTACTTATAGGGGCATCTTCTTACTGCGTAGCTGTAATGTGTATTTTAAAAGTGCAATAGAAGAATGCACTTATTGAGAACACACGACGTGATAATACACATCTTAGATACACGTTTGACTGGTGCAAGTTTCTTATGCCTATCCCAATCATTCTCCTGACATTCACAATTACAATAGTAGCCAACTTCACAGTTTGATTGTAAGAAGAACGCGAATGTAAAATCTACAAAATTTAAACTCGCTTTATTCCTTGATAACCTTGGCGACACAAGAAGGGCATAGGTACACACATAATGCTCTTTTCACTACAGTGGCCACCACTATCAACAAATTTATGCTTCCAACCTGAAATATCGCGTGTATTATCACATGCGTTTCGTGGTAGATAAACTTAAAATGGGCCTTGATTGTCATAATTTCACAGAAATCATCGTGAATATTGCGGAAGTATTCTCCACTTAGTGCATCTTCCTTCGCAACGTACTTTAGATAATGCCGCTGATCGTCATCCTCTGAGAATACACGTTCCGCGTCTCTGAAAGCACGAACCACAACCCCCTCACCACATCAGATAGACATGTAGTTGATACATATGGCGTTCTTGATCAAATTTTCTGACACTAAAACAAATTCGGATTGGTCGTGAATTTTAGGTGGAAGCGTGATACAATATGGTGGATGCACGATGGTTGTCAGACGAGGGTGATATAGGTACGCACAAGTAAGGCCCAGACCACTGTTGTCGCAATCGATGGCCAACGATATTTAGTCTAGACCAGTCATGCACGACAATTATTCCAAATTATATGGGTACGCATAAGAAGGGTATCGGTACGCACAGGAAGGGTACAGGTACGCACAAGAAGGGTATAGGTACGCACAAGAAGGGTATAAGTACACACAAGGAGAGTATAGGTACACACAAGAAGGGTATAGGTACGCACAAGAATAGGATAGGTACAACATGAGGGGTATAGTTACGCACAAGAAGGGCCCTAATAACAGGTGCCGCGACTGAAGGCCAGCAACATTTACTTTAGACCAGTCACACATTAAATCTATTCCAAATTATATCGGTACGTACAAGAAGGGTATAGGTACGCACAAGAGGGTATATGTACGCACAAGAAGGATATAGGTACGCAAAAGAAGTGCCCAGACCACTGTTGTCACAACCGATGGCCAACGAAATTTAGTCTAGAACAGTCACGGGACGACAATTTTTTTTATGGGTACGCACAAGAAAGGTTTAGGTATGCACAAGAAGGATATGGGTACACACAAGATAGGGTGTAGGCACGCACAGGAATAGCCCAGACTACTGTTGTCCCAACCGATGGCCAATGATATTTAGTACAACCACTATGTGAGCTGATTCGGAGACCGTTGCAGCGGGCTTGAACAGGCGCAATACGTTCATATGTACTACCATCAGATCAGTCACTCATCATAAAAAACCAGTGAGACATTTTATCATCGGTGCCTAGGTACATTTTTTGCCATTGAAGCGTAATTTTTTTTTAGGAATCATGAGACAACATTTTGAGAATCCAAGCCTCAATTTCTAGGTGTTAAATAATAAGCATAGTAAGGGAATGTTTTAAGCGTGGACTAAAGTGTGAGAACTTTGTAAGAATCAAGGAGGCAACGTTTTGAAAACTGAAGCCTTAAATACTAGGTTTTGAATAATAGGTACATAAGGTCATGTTTGAGGCGTGAACTGAAGAGTGAAAAAATCGTAGGAATCAATGTGGAAACGTTTTGAGAACTGAGGCCTCAATTGCTCGGGTTTGAAAAATATGCACTTTTCAAAAAGTGATGTTTCAAGTTTGGAATAAGGTGTGTAACTTTGTAGGAATCCACATGGCAACGTTTTGAGAATTGAAGTCTAAATTGCAAGGTTTTGAAAAAGCACTTTTAAAGGTCGTTTTAAGTTTGAAATCAAGTGTGGAAGCTTTGTAGGAATCAATGAGGCAATATTTCGAGAATTGAAGCCTCAATTGTTAGGTTTTAAACAATAAGCACATAAGGTCATGTTTTAGGGGTGGAAAATTACTGATTGTTCTAGAATGTCTGACTGCCCAAAGCTTATGAAACAAAGTCAACCGCATTCTTAATAGAGACGTGTGATGTGAATACCACCACAAACACTTCATATGTAGCATGGTAGCGAGAGGCATGCTTTGCGGTGATAGATCGTCGAATGTATTGAGATATATATATAGTCGCAATGGGCAAACAAGTTGAACATGTATATCAATGTGATACCTTCAATGTGGGAACAATATAGGTTGTTCGTTATCAGGCTGACAGCTGCAGGATATGTTGTACATCATAATATGTGCAATTCCTCGTACCAGCCACCCTATATTTATGCTAAACAGCAGCTGTATCATGCACTTGCTTCGGAACTTATCACCCCACTGATGCACACCCATAGATATTCTGCTATTTGACTGAAATATACAAGACAAGCTCAATACTTTAGGTCTAGTTTTAGTTTCATATCTGGTCGTGTTCGCGTTTATTTTGCTGCGAAATACCTATTGACATTCTGTTGTCTTAGCTCCCACGCGCAGCGTGGTAATTTTTTTAGTGTGTAATACCAAATTTCCCTTTGATATGTGCCTGCGGTGTGTATCAGAACACATCCACACCAAACATTTTAGTAACCTGTAGTTACTATACGTAGGTTTGAATTCTTCGATGGCAGTAAAGCCTCTACATACGTTTGTTTTCATCAAGAAATGTATAATTGCACTGGCAAGCTGAGACATAATATGACAGCTCGTGCAGCGTGACCATCACGATCAGCAATCTGCTCTCATTCTAGAGAGTACCTGAAGTGTAGAACGGGTGTACTGGAGACATTGATGAAACAAATAGCTCAAGAACTGCTAAGAGTTGTGCGGAGCGGTTGGTCGGTGATAGATTGGATGCTTGAAAAGCTTCCGAGTTACTCTCTGAGCCTGACGACTGGTGACAATTGAGCGATAAGAGCATCTCCGCTTCGCAGTCAGTATAAGTATGATAACTGAGTTGTGTATGTCTTGCGCAACGGAGGTGGACGTACAATGCTACTGCTACTGCTAAACGTCGCGAGTGAACCCAGCACGTGTGCGATTTATGACTTGCATAGTGGAACATATATACATCTGTGTCCTGGTCCGTATATGCACTTTCGAGGCGTGTGTGTTTTCAACACTGATCCATATCTGTGTCACTGACGCTTGAGAGTGTGAAAGAATGTACATGCATGTGATTGTGGGGATTGGGGCGTGTGTTTGAGCCCCTTCAGCATGCGTGTATATGATACACCACCAGTTTCTATGGCATACACTCCACACTGATATCTAGTGCCATCTTGTATCAAAACAGTACGGTAGTCACCGATTAGCCATATCGGAACCATCAATGGTGTAGACTTACATAAGTTGGTTGCGTTGGTCCATGGTAAGGCTTGTCACGGTCCTGTTGAGTCGCATAGTAGAGCCCCGGAGTCCACTAACGAGTGTTGGCTGGATAATGCACATCACTGTTACAATTTTTTTGTCCATAGCCTTCACACCAAATCTTCGGATTCGCGCACATAAAACGTATGTTTGCGCCATGCACTTCGGATTGCCAACTCACAACAGTTTATATTACAGGCGCGTTCTCATCCTCCAACTCCAGGAACTTCGAGAAGCTTTCTCTTTTAGCCTCACCGTCGGGCGCAAGACTGTATTTGTACAGCGAGCCATCTATCGACAACACTGCACAAGAGTATAGGGTACATATGGGCGCTAGCACGTGTGGATATGAAAGTAGTGCGAAATTGCAGTGTTTTCAGTGCCAGATCCTGATAGTGTTAGGGTCATGAAATTGCTCATACAAAGCCGTGGAACCAGAAATCTCAGATCTACGCGTTACATGGGAGAACTTGGATAGGACAAATGTACCCAAAACCCACTTTGTGAAGCTTCAATCTGGTAAACTCAAATATGGACAATTGCGCATACAACATCTGCACAGTATGAGCGTAAACGGTTGTTGGTGTTGCCGCCAGAAACCCATTTTAAACAGAGCGTCTCATGCGAAGATTCCTGTATACGAAGCGAGTGTACTCAAAGGGATTCCACCAACTTTGCAAGTGTAACCTGCGCGAACTTAGAGAGAAAACGTGAAATCCAGCAATACACACGCATACACGACCGTAGGATGCCCACAAACAACTCATGAACAGCAAGCAAAGGACTTTCCCAGGAGATACCTAAGACACAGTCGTCGGCTGTGAAGGCGCAGATGCATCGGGATTCTGGAACTGAAAACTTAGCGAACGACCACGTGGAGCTGAAGTATTTGGGTAGGTAGCTCTTTGCCGATACCAGACTGTGAAATGGGTGTTGTAGGGTTTTAGGTTTTTAAGAGTTTAGGTCCGGTACCGCATGCGCTCCAACATTTCAGGAATTAGTATGGTGTGGAACGAATGCCTTATATCTATAGAAGTTCTGAACTTTATAGTAATAAAACGAACGTGGGAGTTGCATACAGTGTGAGTGGGTGGCAATGTGTCACTTATAACATTTGGCACAACAGTCATCCGGACTACAACCAAACTAACGCAGAAATAGGACAATATCACTGCAATTGGCAATGTAGCACTTACAACATTTGACACAACAGACATCCGGACTACAAACAAACCAACGCAGGACGATATCACTTCAATTAGCAATGTAGCACTTAAACCATTTGACACAACAGGCATCCGGATTACAAACAAACCAACGCAGAAATAGGACATTATCACTTGAATTGGCAATGTAGCACTTAAACCATTTGACACAACAGACATCGGGAATACAAACTACTAACACAGAAATAGGACAATATCACTTCAAGTGGTAATGTAGCACTTAAAAAACATTTGACACAATAGACATCGGGACTACAAACAAACTAACGCAGAAATAGGACGATATCAAGTCAACTGTACACGGGGGCACCATACACCAGCATATGGAGCATTCGAGGCTACACATAAGCAAGCTACAACACCAGCAGGTGGAATCGGGGTTATAAGGTTTAGAATTTCTTGTGTTGTGACATACGTTTTACCCTTGAACATACAGCATACCTGGATTGTTTATTCTTGCCGTATGCGGAGATGTCGAATACGTGAATGGTGCCTTTATCACTTGACACACACAGCTTCGAAGAATCTGAGTTGAAGTTGATCCTAAGTATGGGGCAAATGAAGTGCCAATGAACACAGTGAGTACCGTACTTTCTGAAACAGAATTATGAGTGTTAGACGTAACTTGTTATCGTCGTAGGAGGATTTGTTCCACCTGTGCACGGAACAAAAACAACCCAATATGCAATAGAACTACAAATAAACAACCAATTGTATGAGGTCCTTGGATATGTATTGGTGGCAGACCAATAGCCACACCATAGCAGATACACGCATGCTTCATCTTCGTGCTTCGTGCTAGGAAACTCGTTACTTTACACACAAAACTCCTACTAGAAGTTGTACATAGGGCCACGCACATGCATAACCACACATACAATGCCATATCCAACACTGACTTCCATTCACACACACTGAGCGCACATACGAGTATATCTGGGCTTTCTCGGCGCCGCGTCTAAGTTCGTGGAGTTTGATGCCCATCTGTGTGTCGAATATCCTGATCAAGGTACCCTTCTCACTGGCAGTGGCTAGCATGTCTCCTTGTATATTGATGGACAGGCAGCTCAACGCAGTCTGTTTATGTGGACACACAAAAGCAAACTATGTGAACGAGGACTCAAGCACTGGCGTGAGCTGGTACGTCTGGATATAAGTGTGGATATGCTCCTAGTTGCACGGTCAGTACTTGTCGCGAAGAGGTTTTAAGGTTCCAGAAAAACCCTAAAAGAACCTGAAAGCCCTAAAACCCCTGTTGGATTGACACCCACGTCGGAATACAGTTGCCACTTTTGCACCGATCTCTGACGCAGATACATGGCACCATATACGCAACATCTTAACGAGCCAATCCACAACTCCACAACGCGTGAGGTATGTCCTGTATAATACAGACACGCAAATGAACTGTCACCTACTCAACCCTCACTTCACCATACACACCTCGTGCGCTGCAATGATTGTTGGCGATCGTTTAGGATTGCTCAAGTCAATCAGCTGCACATGCCCTGGTTGTCGGCCGGGGAAGGCGAGGATGGACATGGCTGTGTTGGGACACAGTGCGATGAGGCTGCGGTGACACGAGAGAGAGAGAGAGAGAGGAGAGTGTGAATGACGGCCAGGTTCGGGGTAGTTGTGTAGGGGGGTTGCAGGGAGTGATCATAGGGGTTGGTTTTTAGGGTTTTAGGGTTTTAGGGGTTTTAAACGCCATTGAGTGTACGAGAGTACGAGAGATGAAGAGAGCACAGGGATCGCCAAGCGATGCGATGTGATCGCGTGCGACGGTGTAGTTGGCAATGGCAAACGGACAGAAACAGAACGAAACACAGAGGTTGTGCACAAGACAAGTCCTGGTGTGCAGCGCCCATGCTGGACGGTACGAAGACATCACACTACTTAGGTTACACAGAGTATAACGTCTATTTCATTCTATACCGTTCGTGAACATGACAAGTACCAAAGCAACCGTACAATACTCTTGGGCCGAATAAATAAATAAGCAAATAAATGCAGCGTGTGTACACATGCGTACCCGTTCGGATTGTCGGCTGTCTCAATCACATTGAGTTTCTGCGGTGTTGGATTGAAGGTGTACACAAACAGTTTATTGGCCAACGCAACTACAATGCGATCGCGTCGCAATCGCACACCCGTCACCGCACTCTTGAACTCCAACTCTATGACCTCCTTCTGTTTGCGGTCGTCCCACACCAGCACTGTTTAGGTGGTAGGTAAAGATTAGTCCAAGTGGTTAAGTGGGTGGTGCTAGCAGGCTAGTACTATCAAGTGTTGGCCAGGCAAACACGCAAAACATAGAATATATACACACACTATCATATTTCCTCATGTATCGCATATATATATATATATATATATTTATATATATATATACATATATATATTTATATATAACGTGTTATACATAG